GTTAGTCAACTGTTCTACATATCAAGGGTATTAAAAAGTCAGGACGGAGTCTTCATTTAAAAAAATTAAAAATTATTTTAAAAAAAAGACTGCATCCTGATTATTTATCGCCCTTTGAAATGATTTGATGGGAAGAAATAAAATTGATTATTTTTCCTTAAACAGCACAAGGGGTATGCTTTATTTGCCATATTAAACCAGGTTGATACTGCAAATATTGTGAAATTGTACACACTGAGTTGACGAAATTATAAAATGCTTTTAAATAATGTGAGTAAAATGAAATTCTAATATATTCAAGCAACATAATAGCTCTGGTGTGTTTATAGATCAATAATATTGATGCTAGATCTGAATTTTTAATTTATTACGTCATTTTTACATTGAGCAGTGAATCTTTATAACATTTGAAATGACTTACTGAAAGAAGTTAGTCAACTGTTCTACCTAACAAGGGTAATAAATAGTCAGGACGGAGTCTTCATTTAAAAGAATTAAAAATTATTTAAAATAAAAGACTGCATCCTGATTATTTATCGCCCTTTGAAATGATTTGATGGGAAGAAATAAAATTGATTATTGTTCCTTAAACAGCACAAGGGGTATGCTTAATTTGCCATATTAAACCAGGTTGATACTGCAAATATTTTGAAATTGTACACACTGAGTTGATGAAACTATAAAATGCTTTTAAATAATGTGAGTGAAATAAAATTCTAATATATTTAAGCAACATAATAGCTCTGGTGTGTTTATAGATCAATAATATTGATGCTAGATCTGAATTTTTTATTTATTACGTCATTTTTACATTGTGCAGTGAATCTTTATAACATTTGAAATGACTTACTGAAAGAAGTTAGTCAACTGTTCTACGTATCAAGGGTAATAAATAGTCAGGACGGAGTCTTCATTTAAAAGAATTAAAAATTATTTAAAAAAAAAGACTGCATCCTGATTATTTATCGCCCTTTGAAATGATTTGATGGGAAGAAATAGAATTGATTATTGTTCCTTAAACAGCACAAGGGGTATGCTTTATTTGCCATATTAAACCAGGTTGATAATGCAAATATTTTGAAATTGTACACACTGAGTTGACGAAATTATAAAATGCTTTTAAATAATGTGAGTAAAATGAAATTCTAATATATTTAAGCAACATAATAGCTCTGGAGTGTTTATAGATCAATAATATTGATACTAGATCTGAATTTTTCATTTATTACGTCATTTTTACATTGAGCAGTGAATCTTTACAACATTTGAAATGACTTACTGAAAGAAGTTAGTCAACTGTTCTACATATCAAGGGTAATAAATAGTCAGGACAGAGTCTTCATTTAAAAAAATTAAAAATTATTAAAAAAAAAGACTGCATCCTGATTAATTATCACCCTTAGAAATGATTTGATGGGAAGAAATAAAATTGATTATTGTTCCTTAAACAGTTCAAGGGGTATGCTTTCTTTGGAACATTAAACAGACTTGATACTGGATATAGTTTGAAATTGTACACATTGAGTTGACGAAACTATAAAATGCTTTTAAAAAATGTGAGTGAAATAAAATTCTAATATATTTAAGCAACATAATAGCTCTGGTGTGTTTATAGATCAATAATATTGATGCTAGATCTGAATTTTTAATTTATTAAGTCATTTTTACATTGAGCAGTGAATCTTTAAAACATTTGAAATGACTTACTGAAAGAAGTTAGTCAACTGTTCTACGTATCAAGGGTAATAAATAGTCAGGACGGAGTCTTCATTTAAAAGAATTAAAAATTATTTAAAAAAAAAGACTGCATCCTGATTATTTATCGCCATTTGAAATGATTTGATGGGAAGAAATAAAATTGATTATTGTTCCTTAAACAGCACAAGGGGTATGCTTAATTTTCCATATTAAACCAGGTTGATACTGCAAATATTTTGAAATTGTACACACTGAGTTGACGAAACTATAAAATGCTTTTAAATAATGTGAGTGAAATAAAATTCTAATATATTTAAGCAACATAATAGCTCTGGTGTGTTTATAGATCAATAATATTGATGCTAGATCTGAATTTTTTATTTATTACGTCATTTTTACATTGTGCAGTGAATCTTTATAACATTTGAAATGACTTACTGAAAGAAGTTAGTCAACTGTTCTACGTATCAAGGGTAATAAATAGTCAGGACGGAGTCTTCATTTAAAAGAATTAAAAATTATTTTAAAAAAATGACTGCATCCTGATTATTTATCGCCCTTTGAGATGATTTGATGGGAAGAAATAAAATTGATTATTGTTCCTTAAACAGCACAAGGTTTATGCTTTATTTGCCATATTAAACCAGGTTGATAATGCAAATATTTTGAAATTGTACACACTGAGTTGACGAAATTATAAAATGCTTTTAAATAATGTGAGTAAAATGAAATTCTAATATATTTAAGCAACATAATAGCTCTGGTGTGTTTATAGATCAATAATATTGATACTAGATCTGAATTTTTTATTTATTACGTCATTTTTACATTGAGCAGTGAATCTTTACAACATTTGAAATGACTTACTGAAAGAAGTTAGTCAACTGTTCTACATATCAAGGGTAATAAATAGTCAGGACGGAGTCTTCATTTAAAAAAATTAAAAATTATTTTTAAAAAAAGACTGCATCCTGATTAATTATCACCCTTAGAAATGATTTGATGGGAAGAAATAAAATTGATTATTGTTCCTTAAACAGTTCAAGGGGTATGCTTTCTTTGGAACATTAAACAGACTTGATACTGGATATAGTTTGAAATTGTACACATTGTGTTGACGAAACTATAAAATGCTTTTAAAAAATGTGAGTGAAATAAAATTCTAATATATTTAAGCAACATAATAGCTCTGGTGTGTTTATAGATCAATAATATTGATGCTAGATCTGAATTTTTAATTTATTAAGTCATTTTTACATTGAGCAGTGAATCTTTATAACATTTGAAATGACTTACTGAAAGAAGTTAGTCAACTGTTCTACGTATCAAGGTTAATAAATAGTCAGGACGGAATCTTCATTTAAAAAAATTAAAAATTATTTAAAAAAAAAGACTGCAATCTGATTATTTATCACCCTTAGAAATGATTTGATGGGAAGAAAAAAAATTGATTATTGTCCCTTAAACAGCACAAGGGGTATGCTTTATTTAGAACATTCAACTTTATACTAGATATAGTTTGAAATTGTACACAATGAGTTGATGAAACTATAAAATGCTTTTAAATAATTTGAGTGAAATAAAATCCTAATATATTTAAGCAACATAATAGCTCTGGTGTGTTTATAGATCAATAATATTGATGCTAGATCTGAATTTTTTATTTATTATGTCATTTTTACATTGCATAGTGAATCTTTATAACCTTTGAAACGACTTACTGAAAGAAGTTAGTCAACTCTTCTACATATCAAGGGTAATAAAAAGTCAGGATGGAGTCTTCATTTAAAAAAATTAAAAAATATTTAAAAAAAAAGACTGCATCCTGATTATTTATCACCCTTTGAAATGATTTGATGGGAAGAAATAAAATTGATTATTGTTCCTTAAACAGCACAAGTGGTATGCTTTATTTGCCATATTAAACCAGGTTAATACTGGAAATATTTTGAAATTGTACACATTGAGTTGACGAAATTATAAAATGCTTTTAAATAATGTGAGTGAAATGAAATTCTAATATATTTAAGCAACATAATTAATAGCTCTGGTGTGTTTATAGAGCAATAATATTGTTGCTAGATCTGAATTTTTTATTTATTACGTCATTTTTACATTGAGCAGTGAATCTTTATAACATTTAAAATGATTTAATTGGAATGAATAGTTTGATAGAGTACCCTAAACAGTTCAAAGGGTATGCTTTATTATTACCATATAATAAACTTGATACTGGATATAGTTTGAAATTGTACTCATTGAGTTGAGGAAACTATAAAATGCTTTTGAATAATGTGAGTGAAATAAAATTCCAATATATTTAAGCAACATAATAGCTCTGGTGTGTTTATAGATCAATAATATTGAGGCTAGATCTGAATTTCTTATTTATTATATCATTTTTACATTGAGCAGTGAATCTTTATAACATTTGAAACAACTTATTGAAAGAAGTTAGTCAACTGTTCTACATGAGTGAAATAAAATTCTAATATATTTAAGCTACATAATAGCTCTGGTGTGTTTGTAGAGCAATAATATTGAAGAGAAGAATAGTTAGGGTGGTCAGTCAAAAAAGAAGGTAAAAATAAATGATAATATTTATTCTTACATATTATCATTTATTTTTACCTTTATTTTTGACTGACCACCCCAACTATTCTTCTCTTCGTTATCCACGACAGTCAATTATTTATAAATTATGAATTAGCAATAATATTGATGCTAGATCTGAATTTTTTATTTATTATGTCATTTTTACATTGAGCAGTGAATCTTTATGACCTTTAAAATGATTTAATTGGAATGAATTATTTGCTAATGTACCTTAAACAGTTCAAGGGGTATGCTTTATTTGGAACATTAAACAAACTTGATACTGGATATAGTTTGAAATTGTACACAATGAGTTGACGAAACTATAGAATGCTTTTAAATAATTTGAGCGAAATAAAATCCTAATGTTTTATGCAACATAAATAGCTCTGGGGTGTTTATAGAACAATAATATTGATCCTAGATCCAAATTTTTTATTTGATTTATTTATGGGGTATGCTTTATTTGGTACATTTAACAGACTTTACACTGGATATAGTTTGAAATGGGACACATTTAGTTGACGAAACTATAAAATGCTTTTAAATAATTTGAGTGAAATAAAATCCTAATGTTTTAAGCAACTTAATAGCTCTGGTGTGTTTATATAGCAGTAATATTGATGCTAGATCTGATTTTTTTATTTATTATGTCATTTTTATATTGAGCAGTGAATCTTTATAACCTTTAAAATGATTTAATTGGAATGAATAGTTTGCTATATTACCTTAAACAGTTCAAGGGGTATGCTTTATTTGGAAAATTAAACAAACTTGATACTGGATATAGTTTGAAATTGTACACAATGAGTTGACGAAACTATAAAATGCTTTTAAATAATTTGAGTGAAATAAAATCCTAATGTTTTAAGCAACATAAATAGCTCTGGTGTGTTTATAGAGCAATAATATTGATCCTAGATCTGATGTTTTTATTTATTTTGTTATTTTATATTGGGCACTAAATTTTTATAAGCTTTGAAATGATTTGGTTGGAATGAATAAAATTGATTATTGTACCTTAAACAGGTCAAGGGGTATGCTTTTTAAGCAACATTAAACAAGCTTAATACTAGATATATTTTTTAATTGTACACATTGAGTCAACGAAACTATAGAATGATTTTAAATAATGTGATTGAAATGAAATGTTACATATTTAAACAACATAAATAGCTCTTTGGTGTTTATAGAGCAAAATATTGATGCTCGATTTGAATTTTTCATTGATTTTATTTTTATATTGGACACTAAACCTTTATAATCTTTGAAATGATTTGATCGGAATGAATAAAGTTGATGGGCTTTATACTGGATATATTTTGTAATTGTACACATTGAGTTGACAAAATTATAAAATATTTCATTTTATTTTTAATTTTAAAATTATACCACTTATTACCAAATATTTTCCTTTAGTTACCTGTTTATAAAAAGATTATTTAGTGCAGACAGTAATTTGTGTTGTAAAAATATTTTTGATTTTTATGCAGTTCAGGAGTCTGTTATTATGGCAATAATCATTATACCTAATGGTAAAGGTGTGGGATGACACTTCTAGCAAGTGGGCCTTTTGTTGATCCTTCTTCCCAACCTAAAGATGATACCAATGGAGAGCAATATTTCCTATATCTTCGTCTCAAACCTTTTGGTTCTTGTAATGAAGTTCAAAAAAAGGGAAGAGGTGTCGGGGAGGTATTTTTTTGTTTTTTTAACTAATTTTTTATTAAATTTCTAACCAATTTTCCAAAAAAGAAATAATATTAATTTTCCTTTTTTAATTGTTTTATTCAGTTATACATATTTATTGAGAAATTTTAATGTATAAATTGAAAAAGAAAATTTTTTTTTTTTTTCTGATATAACTTTTTTATAACACATCTGATATTTAATATTTCATTTTTTAGAAATACTTTTTATTGTTATTTAAATGTTTCATTGACGTTCATAGGATATAAATTTAGATGTTTTATTTACGTATTTAGTGGATTGGTGATAACATGATTAGGATATTGTTGGACCATTTTATTTAGTTTAGTGTTTGTGCAATTATTATGTAATTCATACAAACTGTTGCTAGTTATATTTATTAGTTCCATTACATTCTCGTACTAAAAAGTGACCCATTTCTGTTACATGGTTTTTATTCACCAAAATATTGCTAATACTATTAAATACTTTTTATAAATATAGTATGTATAAACAAAATATATTTATACTTATAGTATAATTATACAATACTATTTAATACTAATGTATTAATAAGATTTTATTTCATGCCTTACATCAGACACTCTTATACTTAATCTTATTGTATAAAATTTAAAATACAGGTTTTCTGTAATAACAACAATTAATAGAACGGGCAATAATCTATTTCCTTCTATAAAGTTCTCATGAATTAAAAAAGCTTTTTAGAATTTAACTTTTAGAGTTCTAACAGTAGGTGGTTTCTCAAAAAGCGTTTTCATGCCATTATATTCCTGTTTGCACATTTACTAGATGTATTTTTATTTTAATACAGTTGTACATATCATGAATGAATAAATTTTTAAACAAATAATAATTTAACTTTTTACAACTAAATGTTGTCGTAAAAAAAATAATTTCTTTTTTTATGGCTTTCAGGGACTAAAAACATCATTTCATATAGGTATTTTTTTTTCTTTTTCTCACAATGTTATTTAAAAAAGAATAGTATACCAATTGCTTTTTAACTTTTCTTATATTAATGATGATATCTAAGCTCTATAAAATGTGAGTAGGCCTAATGTCATAAATACTACGACATTTTTTAATAAATTCTAGTTATGTTATAAATATGGTTAAATTAGCTGAATCAAAAGCATTGACAAGAAAAAAAAGCACTTAGTTGAGAGAGGCAGATACAATGAGTAAAATATGTCTTGGATTACTTGCATACAGCTGCTTATAATTTCAATAAAATGCATAATTTCGGAGTCAGATTAAAAAAATTAAAGGAAGTTCGTAAATTTTGCTTGTTTTTGCATATATCTCGGAACGCAGTAGAAGTTTCGTTAAGAAACATCAAATTCAGATCCAGCATCACACTATACATAAAAAACCTAAGAGAAACCGATTATTTGAATTTTTCCTCCTCAGACTGGCATAATTTGATGACTTTGACGTCGTCAGTTTTCAAAATCACTCGAGTATATCGTCAGTCAAGACGAATTCTTATTTAGAGATATTCTAGAAATCATATAAAAATTTCAGCCTTATGTTCTTCCGTTAAATGAACCGTCACATTTCATCTCTTTAGTTTAATTTTTGAAAGCAACGGCTTTCAACTGACTTGACTGAAGTTGTGTGTTCAGATAAGGTATATCTAGAATTTAAAATGGTTACTAGAACTAGCAGATCCAGGATTTAATTTTTGGGGGGAGGATTCAGCCCGAAAGTTTTTTTTTCATATATATAACGATAATTAATTTGGAAAAAAAGGAAAGAAATTAACTACAAACATGAAATAGTGTTTAAATGATTCTTGAAGTTCTATTAAATGTAATTACAGGAAGAATAATACTTTAAGAGATAGTTTTTAAAAAAAATGTCTATAAAACATGATAAAATAAAACGTGAAAATTTTTGAATCTGAGTTTTCAACGGAAATTCACGTTTTAAGGTCCCTTGGGTCCAAATAACCAAGTTCCGAAAAATGTCTGTGTCACAGGTGGATCTACGGGGGGGGGGGGAACTTTCAGACTAAACCCATCCCCAAAATGGTAAAATATAACCATGTTTTACAGATAAAAATATTAAAAACTATCTCTTAAAGTATTCTTGTTCGTGTAATTACATTTAATAGGACTTCAGGAACCACTTAAACACCAGTTCATATAGGTAGTTAATTTCTTTCTTTTTTTTTCTAATTAATTATCGTTATATGCATAAGAAAAAAAAAATCTTTCGGGCTGAAGCCCTCCCAATATTAAATCCTTTATCCGCTAGTGGTCTGTGTGTATGTGAACACTCTAAATCAAAACAGAAAAGTCGTACGAAACTGATATTACATATTTAAGATCGATATATGCCTTAGATATCCTGGCAAATTTTTCCTTAAAATTGGCTAACCGGAAGTGCCACATTATATCAACGCTGAAACACATTTTTACAATTTTCTCAAAAACGGCTCTAACGATTTTGATTAAACTTGGTATATCATTGTATAATTAAGTGTTCTTTAATATCATTTAGGTTTTATCCTGGTTGATGTCACTTTAAAGGGCTTAAATGTCCAATGTTCATATGCGTCTTCCTCTAAAGTATCTTTAATATGGTTTATTTTAAATAATGAACTATCACTCATTATTAAAAATTACGAAAAAAATGCTAAATATAACTTTTGGAAGAATTTGATAATTGAATAAAGGGGAAAAAAGAAATAAAAATGCTTATACAGTCGAAAATGAATCTCCGAAAATACTGGTCAGAAGGTATACGTATCGCTGGAAAGCGGAGAATTTTAGAAAAAACAATATCTCATATAGAAAGTTGCAGAACGTAACGGAGAGTGGCGAAGTATTTAAAACCCATGGATTCAAGTCAATGGCATTGTTTAAGATACTATTTCATTGTACTTGTGTGAAAGAAAAAGTGAAATATAAAAATACATCATGGATACATTTATAACCTTAAATATATTTACTGTAGTTTAATAATTCTAAATCTGACATTACATTTAAATAATTAAATTAGTTAATAATTAGATAATTTTTTCCTTTGCGATATTTCAACAGAATCCACTTACAATCAGTGTGACAACTTTTGACCTGTCTATGACAAATAATGCAAATCTCTCTATTATGTTTTAGTAAACTTTGAAATGGAAAATAATAGTTTAATAACTAATATTAGTACAATCCATAATCAACGGATCGTACAATCCATAATCAACGAATCAACAACTTTTGTTATTTTAATAGTATTTATGATTTGTTAGCTTCAATCTTTTAGTTTTAGCTCAGTTAAAAATGCAATTCGAAAATTTTATAATAGCCCAACATGGCCAGAAAATAATTTCTATTCAAAGTTGAGCGGTAAGTGAAAGTTGTGTGTTGCGCGCACCAGATTTTTTCCTATAAAACATGATTATATTTTATCATTTTGGGGAGGAGGGGAGACCTTCAACCCGAAAGCCTTCCCCCCCCCTCCAGCGTAGATCCACCTGTGATTACTACTGAGCTATAAGTTCTTCCCTCAAATGAAGTGGTGGGTAGCTCCTAGTCTATAGATACATATTATAGTGCTTACTAAGTCTGCTTACTGCATTCTATTAAACTCTATAACATTTTATTATAGAAAATTATATTGATGTCAAAAATTGCTAAGCGGGTTTTTAACATTTGCTAAGAATATTTCGGATCTGGATTTAATGTCAGAAAATAACACGAAACATTTTTTTTTTATTATTTCACCTTAAGCTTAAGAATAATGTTGGTAAAGATTAAATCATCTCATTTACTTCATATAAAAAAATTAATATTTGTAATTAAACTATAGATAAGATAGTATGCAGCTGGTATTCATGAGCGTATTAGTATTCCATTATCTACGTAAGGCCTGGTCAAAACCAGTCATAACATTTGACCCGCTAGTGGACTAGCCCATAGATCCCTGTCTTTCCCAACACCAGGTTGCGGCACCATTTGTAATGGCTTTCAACCCAATGGCACCGTGCCGACACGTTATTTTGGCATGATAAAGACGTTTTGCACTTGAGAAGATGAATTTAAGACGAAGCTTTTGAGTTGTTTTAATTTATTTATCAAATAGGGTAGAACAAAACCTCCAGCTGTCGGCATCCCGCCTCAGAGGTGCCCATCCCTCTCAAGGTCAATGGCGCAAGAATCTACTCCCTCACAAGATATTATATGGTCACTTTTCTTCAAGCTAAGGTAGAATTAGAAAAATCATAGATCATATACAATCACATTTGCTGCGGTATGTTCCATGTTTTTCCCTTGTTCCTTGGTCCGAAAATTCATAGCCCCTTCAAAATTTGACCTCCTCAAAAATTCAAAAAACCGTCAAAATATGCCCTCTCAAAAATTTCGATGGCGCAATTTGCGCCATGAAACCTCCTTCTGGGCACCGTTGTCCCGCCCAATTTTTGGCACCCAC